AAAGTAAGCAATTAGCTGAGAAGGTTGCTTATTGCTTGAGTGAAATAGCTAAAACACTAACTGTTAAAGTGACAGGTTCTTAGGTAAATCTGTAGATAGCAACTGCAGGTGAAAAACATAAATCCTTTTTTAAATTAATTGCTTAGAAATCATCTCCATTAAGGGTATCTCTTAAATGGATACAGGAAGCTTGGGAATGCATACATCACCCATCCTATAACAGCATCATTCTCCTTTCTCTTTTCTGAAAATGTATGTCTAAAACCCAATACTGCTTACAGGGCAGCTGGAGAGTACGGAGAGCAAGCATAAACTGTGTCAAGTCAGCAGCTACAGGAGGGATCTCATCAGTGTATACGAACACCTGAAAGGAAGGCACAAAGAGGATGGAGCCAGGCTCTTTTCAGTGATGCCCAGCGACAGGCCAAGAGGCAACGGGCACACACTGAAACACCGGAGGTTCCCTCTGAACATTTTTTTACTGTGAGCATTACTGAGCACTGGCACAGGCTGCCCAGGGAGGTTGTGGAGTCTCCCACCTTGGAGATATTCAAAAGCCATCTGGACACAGTCCTGGGCAACTGGCTCTAGGTGACCCTGCTTGAACAGGGGTGGTGTTGGACCAGGTGATCTCCAAAGGTCCCTTCCAGCCTCCACCACTCCGCAATCAGTGCTCTAGACTGCATTCAATTAGTGCCTTCCCACCATGTGCTAAAGAACTTGGCACACTGCCAGGTACCATCCCATATCAGGGAGGTGAAGGTGAGTCCTTAATTACCCATCTGCAAGCTGCTTAAGGGGCTACCTCACTCTCTAAGATTGCTTTAAACCATTAACATTTCCCGAATTGCTCCAGCTGATAGTTTTACCAAGTGATAGAGTTTCAGACTACTTACTTGCAAAACCCACAGATCCTACATACAGATCTGAAAAGCCTATGCAGGTGTTTCCTTAGGGACTGCCTTGTGACAGGGTGTCAACTTCCTAGCTATTCCAAGGATCCCAATTCCGATTCTCATCCTTGCCCTAAATCCTGGCAGTAGCCATAGGATGCCACAGTGGTAATAACTTTCTTCTACAAACCTCTAAGAGCATACACACAACAGGACATGCTTTGATAAGAGACAAGCACATTTCTGGTTTTTACACAGCATTTGCTCCTTTAATTTATTCATTTATTTGTGTCCTACATGTGTTTTAAAATGTTAAATCTAGTCCCAAACAAGTTTGGTAAAGTAACATTTTTAGTCAGAGGTGTCCAACTGTGGCCATTCTTTTTAGAGCTGCATCTTTTAAAAAAATAAATTCAGTGTTTTATATGAAAAGTTTACCCCTTCTACAATCACAGCACACAATGTGCAACTCGCTGGATTTTTTCAGAATCTTTTAATAAAACCTGCAAACCCTAAAAATATGGCCTAAAGCATCCTATAGGAAATAAAACAACTGTCCTGCAACTTTTTGCTCAGATAACAAAACAGAATTAATTTTCAAAGCTCTCCTCATATCCCCTGCCTGAGGGCCTCTTAGAGACCACTACTAAAACTTAATTTCCAATTATTCTTTGCAACTCAAAAGTTATGTCAGAGGCAAATAAAACCCTTCCAGAGAAATTCAGGAGCCTGAGAAGACAGTTTTTCTTCACAGCAAGAACACAATCCACTGTTACAATGACTGCCATGACTAGCATTAGCAAGAAAACTTAGGTAGCTATGGCTTAACACAGGCTTTCCTTTCATTGTACACTGTAGGAAGAAGGTAAGCTGCCTTCTGGAAAAACTGTGTCAATAGTGAAGACAGAGCAATACTGAAGAGCTGTGAACAGGTAAGCAAGCAGTAGGATCACGGGGCAGTCACAAGGAAAGCTGAGCTGTGACTCAGTGCCTGAAAACAGCAAGAAGATGGGAGGAAAAAAACCCAAACCCCAGAATAGGGGAAGAAAGATGTCACCAGCAGTTTGCCCCCACAACAGAACAAAAAGCAGGCTAGGGTTTTCTTCACATCTTTGCATGCATATTTACAGCTGACTTGTAATCCAAATCACACAGAGGCACATATATCTTGGAAAGGCTATTGTCACAAAGTCTCCAAAAAGAACGGAGGGACTTAGTGTTTGGATTTTGGGTTCAGGGCCAACAAGATTTTATCATCTCCATCCTGTGATCTCAATCTTCTTTAGCCCCAATGCGTCTTCCAGCCTTTTAGCAGTGGCCTGGAGGAACCTTGAGCCAACCATGTCCTTGTGGGCCTCCGAAGAGGTCTCTGCCTTGTAAGCTTCAGAGACTTTCCTGGGGCTGAGGCAGGGGAAGAGAGAGCTTCAGGGCAATGCCAACTCCTAAACACTCTGCGGGAGACAGAAGTTGTCAAATGCCCCTCTCAAGCAGTGCTGTCAAACCATTTCTGTATTTGTATCTCTAAACCCACTCATACTCATGTCCAAATCAACCTGCCGGACTGCCTCCCAACATGCAGTTTCACACTTCATGTTTCCACAAGGTGCTCAGATATTAGGAAGAAAAGCAGCAAACACACTTACACAAAAATAAAATGTACTGTCTGCACCGCTTGCATCCCATTTAAGACCATCATTTCTCTTTGTCAGAGCTGTCACAAAACCCCATGCAGTAAATGACAAGCCAACTCCAAAGCACTGCACCTAGTAAAAATTTAATATAATAAAACAAATTGAAAACGGCAACATTATTTTAACCATTCACAATTAAAGTGGAAAAATTATAAGGCAGCCATTCATGGAATGATTTTGTGTACAAATGGTTTGGAAAAAGAGACATTAAAATTACAGTTCCGTACATGGAGTCAGGTAAACAGCAATGACCACGCAATGTTTTTCCCTGGAAAGCCAAGGCTGCTAAGAGATGTAATAAAAGGATGGTAAGGAAGGAGGAAAAAAAAAAAAAGATGATGATTTATTTTATAAGAAGTTTGAGGTGAACAGGAATCTGAAATTCATCATAAACTTTCCCACCATACCGCAACCACTCCTCCTCCTCCCCCCCCGCCCCCAAAAAATAAAAATACACTTCCCTCCTCTTCTTCCCAAGTCCCAGCACAAAATGGGAAGGAAGAAGCTGCAACATTTATTCCACAGCATCTCTCTCTTATTCTGCATAGAGCTGATACCACATGGACACATCTGCTACTGTCAAAAGCTCCTTGAAGGCTCTGAACTAGTTCCTAAACACACACATTCATTTTCCTGTGTCTCTTGGATAACATTAGCCTTTTCCACCTGGAAACGGTTCTTTAAAGTCAACAGTGGGTTTCTGTGTTTAACACAGGCCATCTGACATGCCACAACTATCAAAAATTCCTATCTTGGTGTGACAGCTCTGCCATCCTCACCTAAGTTAATGTCAGTGCAGCTTCTGCATCTGTCATCAGGTGCTGAAAAAGAAATATTTCCCTTCTTTATACAAGGAACAATAAAAGAATTAGAACAGTAGGGGAAGTACCTGAACACACCAGGATCAATGGAAACAGCTTTAGTCCAATTCCTATCACCAATTAAGAAATCATTACCTGAAAAAACAGCTCATGAGAAGATTATAGATTTCCAAGAGGGATTGACAGAAGGAAAGGGACAACATGCCTGGCACTTGGTTAAAGCGTTACCTGCTAGACCTGCTGCCACCTTCCTCACAATAGAAACACAGGGAGGGATGGTTATTACAGAGAGAGTAAGAGGAATTTGTTTGCACCAAGGTCCCCTGAGGAGCAGAAAATGATACCAGATGGCCCTGACTACATGCAGTGCTTGGATTTACTGTGACAGATGGGAGATAGGTAAAAAAAGGGTCTATGATAAAATGGACCATTTTAACTCATTAAAATACTCTGCTTCAAGAAAATAATCCTCCATGTGGAACTAACAATTTGGGAAGGTTTGATAATTTAAAATTTTATATTCTCCTTACCACATAACCAAAAGCTTCCTTAGTCACTGCAGTTTCAGCTACAGAATTGAAAATAAAAGTGCAAACAGAGATAAGAGGCAGCCAAAAGAAAATGCTGTTACTGCTTCTAAATGGGTGGGTGGGAATCACAAAAGTTTTCTATCTCTTAACCAAGTGCCAAAATGAAAAGTACATGTTATCAGAATTTCTGTGCCAATTTTAGGTTGCCAATGTTTTCATTTAAAATCCCTCACCTGCTGCTATAATTTGGCCTCTATAGTTCATGAATCATTAAACTGAGTATTACCATTTCTGGTGGCTGCCCCAGAAACTGGAAACATGATCCAAGGGACAGGAGAAAAGACAGACAACAAGACCTCTCAGCAGTGGCACCTCTTACAATTAATAAACCAGAGGTTATGTCAGCAGTGAAAAGGCTGGCTGCCACATCCTCATCAATACACGCTGAGCCATATAAGAAGGTACTATCCACACGCTGCAACACTGGAACAAAAGGCATGAAATGGGACCCTACCTACATACCTCCCTAAACCGTTTTTATTGTTATATGCAAAATGAGGCTGAAGTGGAACACAGTCAGGATGCCAGCTTAACTAGTGGGGTGGGGTGCGCATGCAAGTGACAGATGATAGTTTAAAGAAAAAAAAAACCAAACTTGCTTACATTTTGTAAAACAGTATCTGGTGCTGCACTTAAGCTATCTCCTGCTTCTGCTGCAGATCTTGCAAACTCTCCAGCTTTTGGAAACAGTTATGTGGAAAGATTAAATAAGGTAAAACAGTGAGATAATATATCAAGGAAGAAGGTAATTAAGAGGAAATCAGGAAGAACACTGGAAGCTCTGGTGTTAAACATCCCTGTGTATCATTCGCATGTATCAGTAATCTGTATCACTGAACTTTTTAAACAGGTAACTTACTAGTTGCACATGTATGTTGTAAAAAACAAAAAAGCTTTAAGAACGTGCAGGAGAGGATCTCATCCATGTCAGTAATTTTGCAGTGACTTTTCAGAACAGAAATTAACTTTTGAAGATCTAATGTCAAAAATGCTTGTTTAGGCCTGATACACTAATTCTGAAAATACTGTCTTGTGGGAAAAGATGATTTCTAATAATTTTGCATTGATTTTACATAGTAAAACACACAAATGAACAAGCACTCCTGGGGATCAGTACTAGGTTCAATCCTGGGATACACCTGTATGGTTACAAAGCCAACAAAGCAATCACTAGTCCAAGAGCCAGGCCATGCCCATTATTGAACCAGCAGACAAACAGGACAATGACAAAAACAAAGAATTTAAACTACATGGGCCATTGTGCTTCCTAAGTAATAAATGGCATGAAAAACAGACACACTCATTCAAATGGAAACAAGAAGCACTTCAGTTAGGAAGATATTTCAATCCTTGAAAATCCATTTCAAACGAAAAAAATCAAAAGAAAAATATATTTGGCAATGTTATCTTTAAAAAGTGCAGACAGAGTATACCTTAAAAAAGGGTACGGCATTAAAAAGTTTTCCTCTAAAGAAAGAATTTTGTGTTGAGTCTGTGCACATCAAGCATTCCTGACTTTTCAATGCACTAGTTATTACAATATATTTTGCATAAAAGAAATGGTGCCTGACAAGAGAAGGCTTTGCCTTGGAAAGGGAGGGATCTTTTATCACTCTTCTGCAGTGAGAGGCATCAGCAGTTGGCAATAAGTCTTCCAGTGGATTCACCAAAACTAACACTTGTCAGTAAGAGGCAAATGCAAAGCAAAATGCATAACAGTTACACTGGGAACCCACCAGGTTGGTTTTTTGTTTGTTGGGGTTTTTTGTTCAGAACTGCTTTAGAAACACTTTGTACTCTATCTGCAGCATAAATATTTAACTAAACATCTTGTTTTGCTAGCATTAATACCTTCTTTTTAAAGAAAAAATCTCCCACACCCCCACTGATTTCAGCAGTTCAGACTTTTGAAAACGAGCTAGTAAAGTTCTCTGGTCCCTCAACAGCTGTCACAATCAGATTTCTACTCCTCAGAGCCCCAAACAGCTCAATTTCAAGGGATACTACGGGTATCTCTCTCAACAGTAGCAGTAGTGTAATCACAGTACCCAATACCTAATTCCTGCTAACATTTTTGGTGCCTGTGCTTTACTGACTCAGCAGAAGACCATCTCCCAAGAAATACTGTCTTTTAAAAACTTATTAACAACTGCATAAACAATCAAAACACTATCCTCCTTGCTTCTATCCTTTGTCTTAAATAATAGAATACACAGCAAAATTCATTTGCACTTTCTTAACCAGCTGATTACCTACTCTAATCCTACACTTTGTCTACATCATTTCTTTCCCATCAGTGACACTTCTGTGACAATAGCAGTGTTGTCCAGAGTTCCAAGTATAGCCCACTTTTGCAATACAATTAGTGACAAACATCACAAGGACCAGTCGCGTTGTCAGGACAACATAGAACCAACACGGGAGAGCCTCCTTCTTCATTACTAAGACTTCAACGTCTCACAAGGCAGCCATCCTTTGTTTTTGCTCTCAGCTGTGAAAGCTGAATTGCAGGATACTTTGGTGATTGCAACTTCGTGAGTCGCTATGTTCTTCCCCGCTCACCTTTCTTCAACTCCAAATTCCATCTTCCCTGAGAATAGGGCCAGAAGAAACAATTAAAATAGCACATGTCTTCAGAAAAGAAAGTTACACAGAATTTATGTCCGGCTGCCAAAGTACATTTTGCTACACTAAAAACTTTCCCAGTATTCCTCATTTTGCAATCAAGGTTCCCTCTGAACTCCATAAAGTGGATGGGATGGATGATGGGTAAGAGACAATGATAAAAGGAGCAGCCGACATTTACTGCTCACGTCAGATCGAGGAGAACGGTGAAATTCGAGCATTTAGTGATGGTGTCCGATGGACAAAACTAGAGGAATAAGGCATCCTAATACTAGGGCTGCCACCTCCAGACGACTGAGTCCTTTTCCTCCAGTTGATTCAGGTTTGTGGCTATGAGCAATTCCTCCTACTTCTGGGAGGACATGAACTGTGGCAACATAAAGAAAAGTCCCAGCAGAAAACAACATAGCAACTCCGGTGGCATTGACTTCCGAGAGGGCTTCTTTGCTGCTCTGAAATGGAAAAAAAAAACCAGAAAGAGAAAAAAAATAAGGATAAGTACAAGTTCTTCAATCAATAATAAAAAAATTCTGTAAGTGTCCAGACACAGTAAAATTTCTATCAGCTCTCATTCTCTCACAATGACAATGGTTTAATGTGTTGTTTTGTATCTTGCACCTTATGTGTAGCAACTGGCATTCTAAAGTTGATGTGGGGGGCAGAAAGACACCTCTCATCCTAGTTAGTTCACTTCAGACTTCTAGGAACCCTTACAGAAGAAAAAAGTCACAGTCTGTGCAGAAGCATCTTGTTTGACCATCTCACAGCAACATATAAAATGTCAAAATGACAAAATGTACTTTGAAAAAAAAATGAAGTTTAGATTGCAAAGCCACAAATTTTAGGAAGGACACTCAAGACTGACTTTTTTTTTTTTTCTTTCTCCATTTTTCTAAACAAAGAGTTCAAATGAGATGTTAGCCTTTAAATATCTGGTCCTCTGCTGGTCAGAGCAAGATTTGCTAGATTAAAGTTCCCAACCATCACTCATTTAATATTTCATTTGTACGTACAAGTAAACACCCAAAACTTTTCCAGAATTTCCATGCAAAAAACTTCATAAAGAAATGCATCTTCTGGATCAAAACTGAGCACCTCTTCACATTCATACTAGGATTAAGATCATGCTACACATCATTAAACATAATGAAATGCAAACCCACTCCTATCAGTTACAAAAATGCTTCTTGAACAATTTCCAGCTCAAGTGTGATGTTAGTTCTCTGGTACACTTTCAGGTTATTTTTCCAAAGAGCGGAGATACATCTTCTGCTCTGAACTATACAACCACTGTGACAGCCCTTATGCCTTATCAATTCTCTGTTCCCTCTGAAGTGCAAAATGCAAAACCAACTCTTAGTGAGCCTGCATCAAGAGAATGCTCAAACAGCATTCTCATTTCTGTTTACAAATGCAACCCTTTCTGCTGTCTCCTGTACTGCAGTATCAAATATAACTCCTTTCCAGTAAGTAAAGGGATTAGCCCAGATGATTTACTCAATATTTCCTCTCATGCCTTGAATTTCATGACATCCCATGTTAGATTCTTTACAACACAACACCATAGTGTGTCACCAGCATGGCCTACAGCAGTTAGACATACAGGAATGTATTTTCATAGGAAATGCTATGAGAAGCAGAAACATTTAATTTGGGCAGAAATGTTAAACTCATGCAGTAGCCCATTTCACAGGCCGTTTGTTGTATAGAGCCAAGACAAGACTATACTTTATGAAGTATGAGAGGCCAAAAAGGCTATTCCAGCTGAGGATTCAACTTCTGACACAGTGTGAAAAAGACTTTGAGCATATAGGACCAAGAATACAAGTTTATTGTTCTAAGCAGGGAGCAGCAGAAAGGACAAAAGACAGAAATCAGCCTTCTAAAAAAAACTATACAAAACTCTATAGAGGAGTTATATCACTGGTTCTGATGAAAAACACGTTATTTTTTGTTTCACACATTCATGTTGCTACCTTTTATCCACTTTTTTAAAATCTTCATTCTGCTAAATTTTTCAAGCAGTTTGGAACTATGTTCTGTGAAACTCGTATGATATTCCTTTCCCCAAACTCCACCACTAAGCTACATTTTGGGCAGAACAAAATCACAGACCTACCTTACTTAGCCCTAAGTATGTCACCATCGACATAACAGGTGCTGCTAATGCAAAGACCAGCAAGTGTTTTCTAATTCGATTCCGTTCCAGCCCAGCGTGCATCAGGAAGGAAACCAGGCCAAAGGCAGCTGGTGCCTGCAAAAAACAATATTCACCAGTAATACAATACCTTCTAAAATTCCCTGAAATCTGAGATAAAGTTGAAATACGAGTTACTACGCTGAAATGCACTGAATTGGAAGATATTCAGTGAGAGCACTGGTGTGTTGCAGTTAAGCCAAATCAATAGAATTCTGCAGACTGCCCTACCTTAATAACAGTACCTAACAGAAACTCATGTTCTGGCTATCAGAGTACACATATTTGTGTAGTCATTGTAAATATCAAAATGTTCTTTCTGACTTGAGTCATTGCGATAATCCCTAAGTCTCCATTAACTTATGTAATTTCTTTTTTTGTCCTGATGCTACTACACATCCTTAGATAGACAGTTTCTTTATCTACAGCAGAAATATTCTACAATTAAGATGGAGGGGGAAAAAATTCCCAAAGACAGACAACTGTCAGCCTCCACATGAACAAAGACTTAAGAGCTCTTTTGATTAGTTCATCATTCAGTTTCATTTCTGTTCCCACTGGGAAGCAAACAAATACTTGCTTCTTCTCCCTCTGCTGGCATCTAGTTTCTTATCTACAAGGCATAGCTGTCCTACTACTCACAGCATTTACTACATTTTTGCTCACATAAAGACAATAGCGGTCTACCCCGTTTTTAAGATTTTGACGTTTTTGAGATAAGACTAACTAAAATAGATTGAGCATTTTTTTTATACACAGAATCTTTTTTTTTTTTAAACCTAGAAGGAGGAAACCATGAGTGAAGGAAAGAAAGAGGAGAAAGACAAAAGCATCAATTGATCAGGATGACAAGACTAGAAAAATAAAAAAGACACCAGAGAAGAAATACATTTCTCTTTCAAAACCAAGTATTTCTTGATAATCTTTCACAGGAGAAATTTTCCTCTTCTAAAATTGTACAATTTCAGAAGTCGGTTAATTTGAACATTAAGAATAATAAAAGCAAGTTTCACTCGGCAATATCCGTAAACCAAGCTTCATAACAAGACGTGACATTGACATTGCCACCTTTGAAGCGGGCTACGTAAACCACAATTTCTTCTATGAACAGTGAAGAAAAGACACATTAGATCTGGATTTCCTAACATTTTGAACATGCAATTATGCAAGCAAGATTTTGGATGAGTGTAGACTAACTACTGTAATATATGCATGTGCTACCATAAGTCAAATATGCTTCTGCACACATACGTTCAGAACCTATATAGCTAATAGATATCTTTGCACAAACATTAAGGAAAAAAGATCTTACCATCTTCACGAGCCCTTGTTTGCTTGTTACCATCAGAAAAACATTTAAAATTTTTTCCTGCAGAAATGGCATATGACTGATGTGGAAGCTACTACAATAATAGAGTTAACCAGAAGTTGTAATTTAATACTCTGATATCAAGTAGTTTCAAAATACTAACCCTTTAAACACCAAACCCCTTTATAACAAATATCCTTCCCATTTTCTTAAGAACATCACAGAACCAAGAAACTGTTGTAATCAGTGTAAAACTGCTTTTCCTCCTTGAATACACTAGCATATACTTCTATGCTTTAGCCTCTAGAACTTCTCCAAATACATCACTTACAGCAGTAAGAATCTTGGGGGCTTTTTGTTCGTTTTTTAAAAAAAACCCACAACACCACACTAGCTTCAGAAAAAGTCAGTGTGAAGCTGCCACACTTCTTCCTGAGCTATTCTATCCCTACTTTTGGGAGACTTTTCCCAACTGTTGCAATGAAGGTAGGCAGTAGGCAGTCAGAATTCTCTCATTTATACCCCATTCAAACTTAGCATCCATCATTTGCTATTCTGTCATAAATCATACCAGTGCTTTTTGGTTCTTGAAGCTGTACTACTAACCTGTTCGTTGCAATGGCAATGACATTTCCATATTACAACACTAAGGAAACTTAAGATCTTTAGTAATTTCTGTATGCTTTAACAGTCTTTTGAAGAACAAATAAGATTTTTTGGATGATGACTTACCTTGTGCAACATAATCGCAACAAACACTATCAACTGGACACTAGTCTGAGAAGTAGAAGCTGCTGCACCCAATGCAACACCATCAGCTGAAACAGGAGTGCAAATTCATGGATTATTCCTCCACATTAGTTCCAGCTTTCCCACCCCCTCAATGGCTGACAGTACAAAACGCTGATTTGAGAAGTCCTGCTACTCAAAATGCCATTAACAATACCAACTCAACACATGATTCACTTCCCTTTTTTTGTTAAGCCACAACAGTTTCAGGAGATCAGACAACCCTCAACAGGAGCTGTCTCATATTTCCCAAGACAATAAAAACCATACTGAGAATCTACTCAGTATTGACACATTCTGACAAATTAGAACCAGGTAAGAAGTTTAGTTATTTTAGTCTTCTGTAGCACAAGTGGCTTCTGGTCTTAATTTAAAAATCTCCTTTAGATTCTAAGCATTAAAAGAATTTTAATTACTACCCTTTAAATGAATTTCCATATACAAATACTATTGTAAATACTATTTTTTTACCATTTAACATAAATATATTTTCTAAATGAAATAGGAAATGGATACTATATTAATCCTTAATATATAGACACTTCATTTAGTGAAGAAATATCTTTTTAATCAATATCTTATGACTTGTCTAGACAATAACCTTCAGCAGGAGAGATTAAAAAGCATCATATTTATACCACACATATATAATGAATTACAACATGAACATGGGTTGACTGCAACTCATGCATAACTTTTTCAGTCCTTGCAAGTCAGCCCAAATATGTTTCAATCAAATCTTTGCACTCCACCCTATAATGTCCTTTTTTCCACAAGATTTTTTTTTAAACTTAATATTTTTTTAAAAACACAGGTCAACTGACAAACAAACCCAAAGGTGTTTCATACTACATATCAAACGTGTTAACATGTATTGAAATGTAGCAGCTAAGGCAGCCAGCAAAGGAATTGAAGAAGCAGAGAGTGAGCATCACACAACTCTTCAGATGGGAAAAATAAAGGAATAATAAAAGAGTGAAAATACTGTACCCAAATAAAACACCATGGAACATTATGAGCACTGGAGTATGTTTTCCCAGTAAGTTAGTTTTAGGGCAGATCCTTAGTTCTCCCTGCCTTTTTTTTTTAAATAAAAAGCCAACTTCAAAAACAAAACTCAAGTGTTTCTATCACATCTAAAGATGAGCCACGCAGTAATGGAAGTCCTTGACAAGTACTAACAATAGGTCTCACATTACCTGCGGCATGGACTACTAGTCCCAGTGTTGTGGTGATTTTGGAGTTGCCTGATCTTGCAGCTTCTGGATCTGAAACGGTCATGAGGAAAGTTAGAATAAAGAGAACAAATACATAAATTATGCTGAAAGAAAAATGTTAAGTATCACTGCACATCTCTCTACCAGCTGCTTGGGCAGTTATATTCAAAGCTACCAGCTTTTGTATTTCTGCATTGGACTTACTGTAAAATAGGCTGATACCCAATACCTTCCAATCACCTGAAGTTCTGCCAAAAAACAAGTGACAGAATCACAGACAATTCTTTGCAATTTACAGGATCATTGATATAGGCAGTAGCAGTTGTTTTTCTTAACCTCCTGAAACCAAATGTTAAAGTTCTGTGCTACCAAGGGGAAGAAAAGCTAGTTTTGCATCCCCAGAATCCAGAGCTGCTCCAAGAGTCAGGATGATTTTTCGCTACATAGCCCAATGTTGGCATTTTCCTTCAGGTGAGTCTGGGGCAGCCTCTGTTGCACTGATCCTCTAGCAATTCCTAGGAAGCTGTAAGCTCTACTTGTCAGGGCAGCAGTTGCAAAGATTTCCCTCCAACGTTATACACCACAGAGAAGAAAAGCAGCCAGTGCTGCTTGAGATCCAGTGTTTTGACTGTAATTGTTTGACAACTACTCTGAGGACATTTGCAGCTTAGCTCATTGCACAACAGGGCAATATCCACCACTACACAGCTGGCAGTGAAACTATTACAAAGAATCACTGCAATGAACAGGGCAGGTAAGTCCTACACAAGTATAGAAACATCTTATTATTCAACTGCTTAATTCCAAACAGTTGAACAGCTGTTATTTAATTATACTAGCGGTCAGTAAGCTGACTGCAGGCACGCTTACACAGCTACTTTAGTTAAGTCTGCACTGCTGCCAAAACCCGAAGTCCAGTCCTGTTCCTTTCCTCCTGCCTGTCTCTCCACCCTCCAGTCTCTCTCTTCACGCACAGGCGCCCAGGTAGTTGCCCACTCAGTCAGATCAGGGAAGCGAGCTGGCTAAAAACTAATGTATTCTCTTCAGTCAGATTGATCTTCTGAATCAAGTGGAGCCTATTTGAGCAGTTAATTGCATAAGCTGCATTTGGATGACTGTGATGGTATACTCATATCAAATAGGAGGAGATATTCACAAAAATCATTTCTTTTAAATTTGTTTTGAATTGACCAGAACTAAACACACTCAAAGACAGTCACATTTGATTTCATACCTCCACTCTGGCCTACAGAATTCTTCTAGTTTAGACAGTAAAATCTAGCCACTAGGAAGATAACAAAACTACCAGACATTGGTTCAAATGAGAAGAGTGTTTTCCTTCAGTGGCTTTAAAAAACACTGTAAAAACACTACTACATTTCCTGTGACAGAGGTACAGGCTAGATAAAACTTTACTTAATATCCTATTTTATAGTATTTATCTCTAACACAGATCATAGTCTATTTTCTCCTGGTATTTGCTCTGACCAGAGACATACAAAAGGGTCATAATCTGTACAAACCAAGGATTCTCCTGGCAGATGCTCACCTGCGTTCCCTTATCTTCACTGCCACTATTTCCTTTGAAAAGCTCTGAAAATGAGCTAGCCGTGGCTGTGGTTCCATTTACGTTTCTCCAGGAGCACAAAGGTAACATAACCCCTGCACTGGCCTCCCATCTGTCCTACCACACTAGCCCCACACAAGCCTTTGCACATCTGCACTGTGAACTGCCAAGGATCCAGCCACAACATATCACCCCTCCTTTATGTGTGTGTGTATTTCACTTTTCCTTCAAGATCAATTCCTTAATTTTTGAGGGCCAAATTCTACCATCAGAGGAAATTATGTAAGAGAAAATGTGCAGCCGAAGGCAATAAAATACCTCTTCAGATGACAAAACACCTTTGGTGCATTTCAAGCTACAGTCTGAGCATGAAGCCACGGGCAGTAAACAAAGGCAACTGCAGGCATTTTTAGAGTCTTGCAACGAAGCTGAGAAATCTTGGGACTAAACAGGAAGTATTTTGAAGTAAGTGAGGCTCCAGACTAGCACGGGAGTCCAGCTGTGCAGTTATAGTAAAGGACCAGAGCTTACATATAGTCATTTCTGCATTCTTAATTCGGATAACTTTTTGTTCTTTGCAAATGTTACCTACATGTATGACAATTAAGTAGGAAAAACAAACAAAGGTAAGACTAACCTTAATTGTTTTGGAAAGCCAAAGAAATCCCCTATGGGTGTTACTGTAAAACAGACAATAACTCAAGTGTCAAGACACCCTCCAACCCCACACCAGATGTGCTCACACAGTTATTTCATGTTAGCAAAGCAAGCTCTCAAATTATGCTGAATTCCAGGACAGATTTCCAGCACAAACATTTACAAACATAAAGCAAAGTCTGTGTGAAAAGCACCTACTGAAACTCTGGACATGACTGGTCAAATTAAATCCCAGTAGCATTCAAAAAAATTGCAACTTGCTAATTAAGACTAATTAGCAAGTCTAATGGAAGTGAATCCTTACTTACCATCTGTAGAGTGCACATGAGAGCTGCCTATCTGATCCACCAACAGCATGAAGACAAAGCCGAGGACAAGGGATACACCAATGTAGGCATGCAACCTGGAATGGTCATGGCCATACTCATGTACAACCGGGATTTCTGCTACCTTCTCAGACTCAATCACATGCTGCATCTCACTCGCCGGGTGATGCTTCCCTGTGGCAGGCAAGCAAACAGATTAGGAGACAGGGGACTAAATAAACATGGCATTGTCACTTTTCTCCTCCTTTGCTGACAGCATTCCTCGTGCTTTCTTGGACAATACACAGAAGTCCTTGTTTAACGTCTTTCTTAGACCATTTTATTAGGGAAGCACACATTTGCTTGGTTGGTCTCTCCTCATACATCTTCAGTGTGGAAAAGCAAAGAAAACGTTAATATTTTATAAGCCAAGCTACTTTGTTTAAATATTGCATTTTACATACAATTTGATTGATCAAAATTGCTGAGTAATTCCTTTTTCAACTTAAGTTGCCAATTTTGTCAGTATTCAGAGATACTGTCAAGCAGTTACGTCATAATCTTCATTTAAGTGAGAAAATACAGGATAAGGAGATAAAATAGGTTCCATCCACTAAGAGACCTAATATAATCTTTAAGAAGATTAACTTTATATCTCAAAGCATCAGTCTCTAGTGAAACAAGTTAGCATTGATATGGACTAGAACAGTTAAGTCAGCACACTGTCCTACAAATGTCAGTACCATCCTAGAAACCCAAAGTCTAAGCCCTGGGGTTGAACATTGTGTGGTTGTTTCCTTTCCCTACACAAGCTTTAATTCCATGCCCCCCCTCAAACATTTACTTTGTCTCACTGAGCTGCCCTGAAATTAGGTGAGCTCCAGATGACTCTCAGAATGGGAAAGATGATGGCTGGGCAGGTTTTTAATTAAGTTTCCATGGTATAAAATGCTTTATTTGGTGCACAGTTCATAATTTAAAAACATCTTCAAGTATTTCATAGGTTAGTAAAAGTGACAAATGTCTCTACCTAAAACGACTTTTAGAAAGCAGAGATATAACATAACTACCAACTTTTACAGGTCGTCGTTTGCCCAGCATGTGTGATCTTTACAAGCAGATACTCACCACACACAAAATTCCCACCAATTTCAACAGAAACTACATCAGTCTCACTCTGAATTTACACACGCTTAAAGACAAAGGAGAAGGTTTTTCTGGCACATGCATTTAACATTTCCAGTAGTCTTTGGCCTAGCGGCTCCCAAGATAAATCCATGAGATCCTCCAACCTTGCTCATGACCACAAGAAATTACTGCTTCTGCAATCCCATCTGACACAGAGGGCAAACAATATCCAGAAGTACATAGCTTTTTTCAGTATTGGCCAGCAAAGATTGGCAAGAATTACCTTAGTACATATATGTGAAAGAGACTTAATAAAGGGTTTTTTTTAGCAAAATTCTAGGTATCGTTTCCAGCTGATCTAAGCAAAGAATCATGTCTAAGCCTTCTTCTGTCAACAGCATACAGAAATACACTGTTAGAAAGGTACAAGCAAAGATCAGGAATAGGTAATTTTTAATTAAGTTCCAAACTACCATATAGAACACAGTAAACATTTGACCTCTTGGTTTCAGACTCTGTGCTCACCTGAATCATATATGCTTTCTTTTTCTTTTTTCATATTTCCCCTTATACCCCCTGGCAGAGACAAGACATCAGGTTAGAAAGCCCTTTGGGTGATGCAGAAGAGGCATTTAACGCTCCTTGGCATACTTGTTACTATAAATAGTTGTACTTCCACAGCAGGTAAGGCACTTTACACACAGGAAGTATTACTCAAGTGCTTCCAATGGAAGAACAGACACAGCAAGTCTACTTCCACATCTGATACCTCAAGCTAAGTCAGATGTTTGAGTTGCATGCTATACTCCAAAGCCCTGAACTACCTACCGTTCAGTACAAGTTGCCTCCATTCCAGAACAGGGTCTTACAACAATGCTTACAACCACGTTTGGCAGGTTCAATTAATATTTGTAAATCTCTTTAACGTTCTGCTAAGAAAATATTTCTTCTTCTATGCTTCTCTGCTAGACCCAATGATGGTATCACAATCTCTAATTGTAATTATCTTCATAAAGCCTTCTGTCCTTTCCTTACACTTACAGAGTGTAGTTACACAAGGAACGTTCCTGTATTTACACAGGAACTCAAGAGAAATTTGTTTTTTGAATAGGAAATTAAGAAAAAAGAGAACCCATTTGCAAATCTCCAGTGCCCTAGAGAACATATGCACCACAGTCCAATACAAGGAAGCAGGTGAAACATTAATTTCTACTCCCTCACAAAGCAACAGTGAGCACTATATTACAAACTATGACCATGAAGAAAGCAACAGGTAGCACTATAATATAAACTATGAACATGAAGAGGTCTCTGTCATGTTCAAATGCTTGATCAGGCACTATATTTTCTCTTAAGACCTGACTTGATCTTCAGATCTGCACCTGGGGAGGAATAACCCCAGGTACGTACATGTGGGGGGCCAACAATCAAAAAAGCAGCTTTGCAGAAAGGACCTCAGGGTCCTTGTGGACACAAAGTTTACCATGAGCCAGCAGTGTGCCCTGTGGCAAAAAAAGAAAGGCTAACCAAGTGCTGGGGTGCACTAAGAAGAGTGCTGCCAGCAGGTCAAGAAAGGTGATCCTTGCACTCTACTCAGCACCAGTGAGGCCACACCTGGAGTGCTGGGTCCAGCTCTAGACTCCCCAGTAGAAGAGAGACATGGACATAGTGGAGAGGCATGAAAATGACTACAGGACTGGAGCACCTCTCCTATAAGAAAAGGCTGAGAAAGCTGGGACTGTTCAGCCTGGAGAAGAAAAGGCTCAGGGGGATCTTATCAATGTATATAAATACCTGATGGGAGGGTGTAAAGACAACAGAGCCTTATGTATTAACTACTTGTTCCTATCTATCATTTTTAATTCTTCCTGAAGTTTGGAATGACCTACCTGACCTTGTCCACCAGCTGAACTCACCCTCTTTTCTGAAAAAGATTTCCTCCAAAGTGACTTGAAACAATAACATGCACAAAGCCCTCCTTGGTTCCACTTCGTATTTCTTGCTATTTCACAGGACAGCAATGCTTTGATGACAATACTACATAGAACAACACTGACTAAGCAAGAAGTTTCCATCAGGAATTCTTAAAAATCTTTACTAGAAACAATATTACTGATTAATTTTTATCACATTTAACAGTAAGAGGACTAACAGGCCTAGCATACAGCACTTAAGAGAAACTAGGATATTGACTAGATTTTTTCTTTGGTCTAACAGCAAACAATGTTTTCTCAGTATGAGAATAGACAAGGTTTTTGGAGAAGTCATCATTCAGCATCGGAAAGCTTTTTTACTTCAGAACAGCTGATTCATTCTGCTTGACTCAAGGTAAGGATATTAATGTCTGAATTTATTATAATAATTACAGTTCAACACAGTGTATCTCTCCTGTTTGAATCTTGCATTTTTAAAGTTCACTCTACATAATTTTTTTTTTTTTAAAGTGAAAAGGCAACTTTCATGCACCTAATTTTATAAAAAAGAGAATGGCAACAAACAAAACAGAGGACAGCACACATTAGGGCTTTCCCAACATCTGTGGCTTAAGTGACAAAAGTACAACTTCTGTCATTTTGGGGAGGTCTTTCGGCTGGCAACTACTCTTCAGGAGTTTTAGATATTCACAGCAAAAACTTGACTTACTCAAGTCATCTTCTCGCTGGAGTATTCATACATCTTGGATGAGACACAATTGTACACCCATCCCACTGTACAAAAAGTTGGCACAACACCATTACTACAGACAAAGCACATCAGAATAGGCTTGGTAGCCCTTGAAAGATTTCACAAACGTATCTTTGCCAAACAAGATTGGTCAATGAAATAACCACACAAGATTGTTGCCGTCTATATTAAAAAGTTAACTTTGCTTCAGATCATTTCAAGCCATAAAACATAGTGGGTGACTTGGGGCAATGTTTCTGACAGCAGTTATGCAGTTTCACCGCTTAAAATAAAGGAAGGTCGCCAAAGGAATTTTATTTGCTGGTAATACTCAAACCAAGGTTTCACTACACACATACATAGGTTTATGATCAAATAATAGTCTGAATCATGATATGCTATTTGTTCTCAGCCTACAAGGTCAAAAATTCAAAGTTATTTATTCTGTTGCCTGTGGGAAAATACAGAAGTAATAGTAAATTACTTTTGTATCAATGACAAACACCTGTTTTGATAACAAACAACCAGTCTCAGAGTTATATGACACTTGGAACTGGGAAAACAAAGATCTCTCTTTTATGTTCCCTTAGGCACATTTCTAGGTTTAACTATGTAAATGGGAGAATTTAAAAAAAAAAAAATAAAAATGCACTGACAGCTGTTCTCAGAATCTTAAGCTTAACTTTGAATATCCTGCTTTTTTAAGAAAAATATTAGAAATATTTTTTGCAGTTAAATCTATAATTTCCGTGAATTTTTCCTCTTTGCAATACAAAAAATTCTTTACAGTCAGACTAGCTTTAGACATGATACTGTGAGTTAAGAATTGAGTCTGAATTCATTCACAGAGCAAATTCTTTTTCCTAGGTAGATACTTCTGATATTACTACTGCAGTAATAGGAAGTGCCTTTTTTCTCTCCGCATACTGAACTTCACATTGTAGAGCACATAGCTCTAAACAGCAGGCTGTAGATTTCATATGTGAACAGTATGCCCCATGCAGTGGAAAAAAAAATTAAAAAATGTAAACGTTCACAGCAATTCTATTTACTGCTAGCCATATCATTACAAGAAAAATTCAGTCTACTTAGAATTACAATTAAATGGAGAGCAAACCCACAACTACAGCTCATTAGAGACATCCTACATTACAGTGCACAAATTACAGTACAGTATAAAAGCATAATCAGACGTTCTTTCACTTCCTGATAGAGGATAATTTTATATATTATCTTCTGTTTACTTTAAGCAGAACAACATAAATTTAGTGGAAACTAAATGAGGATAAATTAAGCATATTACTAAAAAGAAATTTAAAACGGTGTAGAAACAAGAAAAAAAGTAGTAGTACAAGAAAAGCAAAGTATTACAACTACCTCTCAATCCCAGATTAGCAACAATGGTACATCAGACACTCACAAAGTAGCCTCAACTTTATAGTGCTTTCTCCTGTGACCACTAATTTGTTGCTGTTTACCTTCAGAAAAATTTCTGATTCTGAGCATACTGGAAAAAATCTCATACATGCAATGGTAATGTAATAGCACAAGACTCCAAGCTAAAGCAAGATTTAAAGTGCACTCCAAACAGAGGTAATGAGACCTGACCATTTAAAATGATGTCATAACCTCAAATTGAGGTTTACTAAGACTTTGGGGTATAAGATGTGCTCCACACTCACGTCCCTACAAGACACATAATTGCTGTTAGCTTTGAGCTATTCATTAGAGGCTATGAGGTTTTGAAGACCGTCGACAGCATACTAGAGCTGGATGCTGGAGCGTGGAACCGTGCGCAGATATCTACTGGTAGTGGACACCACCACCCAAGAAAGCAATGCCTCCTATTCTGTGAGTTAGCCCTATATAACCATACTTTGATATACTTGGCTGAAAATTAACTTAATTCCAAGATGCTCTTCAGCTTCAAAGGAGGATATTTTTATGAGGGCAAGTATGTATAGATCTATAAAACACCTCCTGCAATTGCTTTAATGAGAAGCAATCTAAACTACAAAAAGCAACAGCAAATATTCCACAGTTTCATTCTCTGCCAAAGGCATCCTTACACCTCCTTTGAAGTTCCAGTGAAAGTTAAACTTCAACTCTCCCCAGAATAAGGAAACTACACATGACCTGGCATAAAAGGCTGTGGTTCCATGAACAGTACAGTACCTGGACCTGCAAATGACTGGATCACTCAGCAAGAGTCATCGATCCACAACCTGACCACATCCCTCTGTCGAATCGCCATAAACATGCAATATCATCCCCATGACAGTTTTTGATTCCATGCCAGCTTTGTGTCCTGCTGCCGTGAAACCCTTCCACCAATCTCATGTTAAAAGCCCTAGAAACAAGACCCAGTATATTATAACACCATCACCTAAGTTATCTTGAAAAAGGCCATCTGGGTTCGGTTCTTACCCTCCAAGATGTCTTCATAAAGTGCATGTACTCCTTCTGGCACAATGACAGCCAAGGCAGTTCCACACAGCAGCCCAGCACCCAGAACAGTCACCAACTTTAATCTCTCCTGCAAGCAAGTACAAAACAAGTATCATCTTTAAGAATGAAAATGCTTTCTTCACTCTCCCTCATTAACAGAAGTTGAGGCAGGCGGCAGGGGAAGAATGATCCACAAAACCTCTTGCTGATTTTTATTCAAGAGCCCCAGTTGCATAATCCTATATTTCTAATGATTAACTTTCTGAAAAGTGAACCTATCCAGTGTCCAATGCAATCAACTAAAGTAGGAAATGAAAGTTAAACATGACCTGTTTGACTGGTAACATCAGAGAAGAAATGAAACACAGCATACTTGAAATAGCAAAAATTGCTATATTTGGGACTAATGATTATTGGGGGTCTAATTCATCCTCTAGGGCCTCAAACTATAAGGCCTGCAGAGACAAAGAAAAGTTGAAAGTGCCTGAATTGACGCATGTTTGCAACTATGTTTTATCTCCATTCTGGGTTTCTTTTCAAGTATCTCCTTCCTACTAGAAATCATACTTAAACATGCAAGTTCCCCAAAATCTCTGCTAGGTATGGCACACTGCAAGTTAAATTGCCTGTTCCACAAAAAAGCCAATCTAAATAATAAAAGAAAGCACAAGAAAGAAAAATAGATTACCAAAGCAAAAACAGAAAGACAAGAGAACCCATAATGTAAATGCATCTACAGGTACAAATACATCGGTCTGCATACGAGTGTAAACTGCTAAGTCAGCTATATTTATATAACAAAGAAAACAGCTAAGAAAAGTTTTAGGACTACAGAAGGAGAAAAGAAAGACTTTACAGGAAAAAGGCAGCAGAAGGTCTACTTTCACTTACAGGTTTAGAGACAGAAGAAATGAAGTTAAGCTGTTATAAGACTGTTACATGATAGATGAACTATATTTCAGTCTCTGAACCAAACAGCCACTCTTGTGCAGAAGCTTGTCCTTAAAACTGCCACATTTTAATGGCCTTCTATTTAATATGGTATCATCAAGGAACAGATTTTCTTTAAAAACATAAAACTGTGGATAAAAAAGGAATTTAAGAGAAAGATACTTCTTTTGTACTTGAAAGATCTGATGATGTGTTTGTTCCACATATTAAAAAAAAAAAAGGGTGCCAGGTGAAGTTTTAGAACTACAGTATCACAGCACTTGCACAATGTCAGGTAGCTAGAAAATATGGCAGAAGGGACCGAATCCCCCATATAGCTCCAAAACCAGAATTATAAAAAAAAATAAATATAATTTATAAAGGCTTACTCAAACGAAAGTTTCAATAAGGGACCTGCACCAAACTGATAATGGTGCTAATATACATTTTATGTCAGTCTTTTTTTCTTTTTAATCCAATTAGGAGATGCAGAAATACAGAACAGTGCTTATTGTTTTTACAATCATTTCTAAGCCTTCCAGTGCATTTTGAAAGGTGTTAAAGATTGTAAAGGTATTTAGGGCAATATAAAACGATCTTCTCCTCTCCATGTAATTACAGACCATGGCAATCCCCTTTCTCCTCTGCAAAGGTAGGTTTTAAAATAGATTTGTTACATTAAGTATTGCAAATTTGCAATTAAACCTTAAAAAAAATACATAAACAATGTTTTTATAGTAAAGTAGTTCAATTCATATTTCAGGAAGAATTTCTGCAACAAGATTAAAAAACACACACATGAGAGTTTATAAGTACTTGCTACTATTAGTAAGGGTTATCTTCCTAGTTGTATTCAAATTTGGGACAAAAAACTTACTCCCTCACCCCTCCCAAAGCAACTAAATTCTGTTTTACCAATATAAGAACAGTTTACTATTACGTTTTGCTTCCTTGTGACAACAACATTGACAGGTTAAAGTCAAAGCCAGGTACTGAAAATCCAATTATATAAACATCTAACAGACTCTAAAATATAACAGCTTGCAGAGGCTGTTTCTCATTGTTTCTGTAAGAGCCCTTACCATATCACATGTAGCCACCACAGGAGTTTAGATCCTCATAACAACTGTGTAGCATACATTTTGTGGCAGAACCATCATCATCTTCCGTGCACAATGAGATGTCTGGGTGCTACCAAAATACTAACATTAACTACTGAGGACCTGGAGACAGAGGTCAGTGTTTGACTAATGGGAAACCACTTGTTGCATATCCTTATTATGTCATCCATTCTCCTTCATGCACCACAGTGATACAAGTTGTTTAACCTCACTGAAATAGGCAACACTTGCATAGAAGAAATAGGAGGCTCTAGAGAGGTGCACCACTAGCTTTCTGAAAGCAAGCTGAATGTGACCATAAGGAAACAATTACAGCATCACTGGGGAAAATTCAAGTAGTAATATACAAGAGCTGAAAACACCTGTAAAGTTTCCACGAACATGCACTGTATACTGGCATATATAACAATTAGACTTGGTAAATTGTTATACAGTGGCAATCTACATGAAAAGACAATCTTCAACACCCACTGTTCATAAAGTCATTGTGCAAAAATATAGTATCTTACAAGGAAAAACAAGATTATTTTTATACTGCAGCACTATAATCTCTTTTACGTACATACATAAACACAGGGGAAAAAGCATGAAGTAATACTGGTTTATTACAACTCCAAATACAGAGTACCACTTGCTTTTATTTGGGCATCTGTGAGTTTTAAAGATCCATGAAAATAATACACACTAACAAATTACTGTTTTAAGAGAAGTCTCCACCTCCTTTTCAATACAAAATACCTAAGCATGGTGAATACAGCAATATAACAATTGAAGCCTACCGACAGGCAAAAATCATCTAGTTTTATCCAAGAAATCAAACCATTTCAGTTACACAAACACTTGTGTGTCTGTTGGTAAAAACAAGAGCAACACACTAAATAATGCTAAAAAATGCATGCGAAAAATCTTAAATTCCTCAAATTAGCAAACTGTTCCACTGCTCAGTATTTGGTTTAAGCCTGCATGGCATAGAAACACTTGCTTGGACCTATCAAAAACTCACACCTCCTTTCAGCAGCAAGCAGTCCCAGTCCAGTCAACACTGCCTGCCTGTCTTACACCAGCAAAACTTTCAAACTGCTAGAACTCGATTTTTTTTTAGTCTTTTGCGTTTAGACTACAACTTAAGATACAGCCTCAAGAACTGGTATAGTGTTGTTTCCAGCCAAAGTTAGCCCAACAGAGTACTGTAAATTAGGATTAAGCTGAAAGGGTACATCTGCAAACAGAAATAAAGTGACATTCTATTCAGTCTACCCTTTTATCACCAATGTTTAGTCATACCTGGCTTTGCTGGAGTTTTATACTTTCAAGAATATCCAAATCTAATTAAGAGTAGAAACTAGCATGAAATCAGAACACAACCAATAGGTTCCAGAGGAAAAAAACACATCTGAAGGAATGTATTAACACTAATGAATAACTTTTTTGTTCTCCAGCATCTGGGGAACAGCTCTACACACTATGTAAAGCATTCATTTTTGTTTTCTACTTAACCATTATAAGTGGCCAGTGGGAGGAGGCATTTTTCCTCACTAGGGCCACCTGCAAAACTTTCTGCAAACCACAGAATGCACAGTCCAATCAGACATTTCAGTTTGAAATTGTACTTTTTGCAGAGCCCTAAGCAATCATTTTAAACAAAACAATTCTATTTTCTAATTAGACACTTCCAGGATTAGCTAGTATTTGCACATAATTTGCAGAGATTCTGCTCCTCTTTTAAACCAGCATAGCATGTGGATCCTTAAAGTATCAAATTTAAATCAAGTGTAAAACTGAGTCAAGAATTTCTGAGAGTTTGATACCACAATAAACTTGACTGTGCATGTGTGTACTGTTGGTAAAATACTGCACACATAAAAGGCTAATAAGTATGTGATTACTGCTTATGCAGAGTGCTGGTTTCGGATCCACACCAGATCTGTATTTCTGCAGCTGTTGGTTTAGGTTTAGGAGCCCACAAATTCAACTATATAAATAAACCACATAAACACAGATCAAGAACTCTACCTTCAGACAACACTGAATATGAAGTCAGAGACAACAGGTGACTATCAAGCACACACACGTGGAAATGCAAAATTAAATAAGAGATAAAAATATTAGCATGCTAGGCAGCGTTCTCGGTGAATTTGCAAGAAAATCCTTTGTAGGCTTCAGGGCAAACGTGAGTTTTGAAGAGCAAGACAGTGGAAGCAGCAGCATTTTAAGACATATAAGGGAACATCCATCAAAGCATCAGATGAAGCACTGGCAAACTGGAACTGTGCTAATGTTTATGTAACGACTTCAGAATACATTGTCATGTTTCAATCCATTTGGGTGAACTGTAGTGTTAGCAAAATTAACAGCCTTTCCTTCCATGCTGCCCAGGGTCTACTGCTCCCAAAGCCTCTTACTAATAATGGGGCCAGAGAGATGCAACCAGTTCTGTGACTTGTAGGAAGAACAGGTCACATGTCTCTTCCAGCACTTTACTTTCCAAAAGCAGCACCGCTCCCAGTAGAAATGGGAAACTTCTGGTAAGAGGTTGCTACCGTCTTAGAACTAAACTCTCACTACACCACACCTCTACGCAACTGTCACCATTTAGAAAGAGAAAAACCCCTCAGGCATCAGAGGCTACTAGGAGACTTCCAGCGACTGTAACAACGATCATCACCTTAACAATAACTTCTTAGAAGCACTCAAATACCTCCACTTCTGAAATGCCAGTACCGCTTGGAAACTCATTCAGTCTATGAAAGTCTCCCTCTCCTGTAACAATCATAGAATGGTTTGGGTTGGAGGGGACCTTAAAGATCATCTAGTTCTAGTTCCAACCCTCCTGCCATGGGCAGGGACACCTTCCACTAGACCAGGTTGCTCAAAGCCCCCTCCAACCTGGCCTTGAACACTTCCAGGGGTGGGGCATTCACAACCTGTTCCAGTGCCTCACCACCCTCACAGTGGCAAACTTCTTCCTTACATCCAATCTAAATCTACCCTCTTCCAGTTTAAAGCCATTACCCCTTGTCCTAGCACAACAGGTGCTGCTAAAAAGTCCCTCTCCAGCTTTCTTGGAGGCCCCCTTTAGGTACTGGAAGGCTGCTGCTGTAAGGTCTCCCCTGAGCCTTCTCTTCTCCAGGCTGAACAACCCCAACTCTCTCAGCCTGTCTTCACAGGAGAGGTGCTCCAGCCCCCTGATCATCTTTGTGGCCCTGCTCTGGACTCGATCCAACAGGTCCACATCCTTCTTATGTTGGGGGCCCCAGAGCTGAACACAGTACTCCATGTGGGGTCTCATGAAAGCAGAATATCTTATGTATCCAAGATATTTTTCCAAAAGAATGCCTTGAGTTACGTGGACAGTGACATAACTTGAAGCTGCATTGTAATCAAACGGCTAAGGTTTAATTTTCAGCAGCACAAGCTGTGAACAAAATTGTGAACCAAACCACAGTCTTCTGAGGACATTCTTGGAATTGTTTTTAAAAGCCCTAAATTGAGTAGCCCATAGACACATAATAACAGTTAATCTCCGACTTTAGTAGTCTCTGACACAAGTTTCTAAGAATAACCGCGTCCAGTTCCTATCAAATCTTTCCCCTGCATGCTGAGGCTTTGCTTCATCTGTAGCTGAGACGCTGGGCTCAAGTCTGGCATATTTAAGTGACTTTTATACACACTGTAGAACAAGCATAATTTTACACTGCAATTTCGAATGAAAATTAATATCACATTCACAACTTCCTTAAAAATCTTTTGAAGTTACAACATCACCCCTAACAGCACTGCCATACTTGCAAGAGGACTGCCCTAACTCCTCCTGGAAGATCTCTCCCTCTAGCTTCTCCCTTAGCAACCAACCAGCACTTTGGCAAAGCTGTCTTACCTCGGAAAAATTAACTGCCAAGGGGATAATTCCTGCCACATAGCAGGCGACCAGCATGGCCAGAGACAGCAGGCAGATGGAGCGGAAGTCATCCATTTCGCTGCTTTCTGTCCGGTCCCTTAAAGTGAAATTCAACAGCAACTTTTCCACCTCGCCCCGCACGCCTTAACCCGTGCAGACACCGAGCTCCCAAGAAAGGTTTTCAGCCATGTCTCTCCCGCCCGGCGGCTCCGGCCGGCTCGGCCCACGGCGGCGGCCCCTCCGGGGCCCGGCGTGCGGCAGCCG